CGACATCCTTTACGTTATTTTAAGCCATAAAAGTCTTAATACACGGGGTTCCCTTTAAACAACGAGCAATATTTGACAATAGCATATTTGCCAACATAGCGTTAAGCAATGAGAATGAAATAAGAAACTTAGCAGGAAATGTTGCTTAATAATATATTTATGGGGGAAGCATCACCCCAAGCTCAGCAAGTGAGGAACCAGAGGAAAACGACTTTAGTTATGTGTATTTTTTATTATTATATATATATATTTTTTTTTATTAAATGAACATAGCTTGATCTCAGCCAGCTGATCATGTATTTAATCAACATATGTCATATCACCCTAATTTCTCATGCTCATATGCTTACATTACTCAGCGTGAGCACATATTCAAGCGGATCAGAAATTATGAATCTCTAATAAGTATTGAGTGGCAGTCCAGCTGAAGTATGTGAAGTATGAAGTATGTGGCAGTATCAACTGTCATTGATATTACATTCTTATATGTATAGGGAGCGATAAGAGCGATAAACGCGTGCTTCTGACACAGCTGAAATCACCCGCACACTCACAAAATGAACATAGCTTGATCTCAGCCAGTTGATCATGTATTTAATCAACACATGTCATATCACCCTAATTTCTCATGCTCATATGCTCACATTACTCAGCGTGAGCACATATTCAAGCGGATCAGAAATTATGAATCTCTAATAAGTATTGAGTGGCAGTACAGCAGGGGAAGCATACACCCTGCGGAAATCCTTCGAATGACTGTCATTGATATTACATTCTTATATGTATAGAAGCCATTAGGAGCGATAAACGCGTGCTTCTGTCACAGCTGAAATCAACCGCACACTCATACAGCTAATGAAAACATCAACCTTAGAAATAAACAACCGTAACATTGAGATTATGCCACTGAATACAGCGAACCCCAGCTGAAACCCATTGCATACACGAGAATGCTTGTTTCATTTAAACTTGTTCTCATGGCCTTAACTATCGGCGTGTCCTCAGAGTGATTAAGTTACATGATCTAGACCAGTGTTTCCCAACTGGGGTGCCGTCTGTCGGGAGCAGGGGTGCCGTGTAAAAAATCCTTTTTTAATATTTTTAAATTGCTAAAATGTTCAAATAAGCATCTATTAGTCTAGATTCTAGACTACGTGTTGCTCCAGCTGTATGAACACAAATGCGTAAATGCTGCTGCAAATATGCTTAATATTTCGCTCCTGCAAACGATGCAAAACTGCTAACATCTTTCTTTTTTTTTTTCAATTAGCAGACCAGGTAATATACACAGCTATATGAATTAAAACAGCATTCACTTATCTTAGACGTGGATTTCAGATAAACACGCTGCAACAGTTTGATTTGCGAGCAGCGATGCTTAATTTGCTCCTGAGCAAGCTGAAAAGCTGCTGAATAATACTGAATAGAGCTTATATAGGAATGCTGCGATAGGTGTCGTATTCATATAGGTAGATGTGATCAGCCGAGAATCAGCTGATGCAAGCTTGACTCACGTGACCTGCCAGAACTAACGCTAATGCTTAATTTCTTGAATGATTACCATATATGATTGTAAACATGGAATTAGCATAAATCTGAAGGCTCAAGTTGATCTTTGCTGAAGTTGGTTGATGAAAAGAACCAGTTTGAGTCAGAG